TTTCCAGTATACCCCTGGCCACTAGACACAAGCTCAATTTGCCTTCATGTGGGAGGGACAACAATGGACCTTTCAACACCTTCAAGGCTACCTGCCAATCCCACTGTATGTCATGGGATGGTAGCCCAAGACTTGTCCCTGTTCTCCTTCCCCACATCCATAAAATGGGCCCATTACACTGATGATATGATGCTGACATGTAAAGACCTGCCTCTGCTATGGGACACTCTGCAGACTTTGTTGGAACATCTGTGAGTCGGAGGATGTGTGGTGAAGCTGCGGGAAGCTCAAGACCCAGGCACCGCCATTCAGGTTGAGCCTCTCACGAAGGGAGAGCATATCACGGTAAGAGCTTCTCTGCCTAGCAAGGGGTGGGTTGAGAACATGTCCCATTGACTCACCTCCGCCTTGGTTCAAACTCCCACTTTGACTAAGGCAGGCCTATTTGCAGCACCAGAGCACCCTATCTACCAACCCGCGGCACCTAGAAAGAAGCTGCTGCTAGGCCCTGTAGAGGATCTAGATCCTCCAGATGTCCCCGCCCCTATTCCTGTGGTGGCCCCTGTGGCCTGTAGGGAGCGAGGGGCACATTTCCGCTGATGGCTGGTATACAGAATGTTCTAGTCGGGGTAGCCTACCCACGTGAGTTACCGTCATTGGTCAGCTCCACACTGACACCATCTGAATGGAAACAGGAACAAACCACAGCAACCAGCGGGTTCAGCTCAGAGCTGGTTTGGCTGGTGATCTGGCTGGTGACTGATCCTCAGAAGCTCTGTTAACCCTTAGCCCTGATAGTTGGGCTGTTTTAAAAGGATGAACCCGGGCGCCTGGGTGGCTCAGTTGGTTAAGCGATTGCCTTCGGCTCAGGTCATGATCCTGGAGTCCTGGGATCAAGTCCCACATCGGGCTCCCTGCTCAGCAGGGAGTCTGCTTCTCCCTCTGACCCTCCACCCTCTCATGTGCTCTCTCTCATTCTCTCTCTCTCAAATAAATAAATAAAATCTTTAAAAAAAAAATAAAAATAAATAAAAGGATGAACCCTATGGCTTGGACAAGGGAAAGCTGAGAGGTGGATGATCATGAAAAAGCCTTTGTGGGGTTAGGGTATGTAAAAGACATCTGGGTTCACCTGCAGGAGACGAGGAAACCTCACTCTCTTCCACATCCAGGCGCTGAACAACACCACCCCCTCACCGGCATTCAGAGAGCTGATGCCCCAGCCCAGGTAGGGTCCCTGGCCACCAACCTTTCAGTAGATACCACAGATTGGGTGCATAGGAAGAGTGGCCACTGTGACACCTGGGCGGGATGGTGTGTTGCCAAGGACACCGGATTGCCCTTGAAATCCAGTGACTTGGTTAATGGAATATCACGTCCTCTATGTTCTAGAACAATGCCCAAGACAACTGCCAAAGGAGTCGTCCTGGGCCATCCACTGGAGTTCCCAACCAGTAAGGCATTGGCAAGTTGATTACATTGGCTCTTTCCCTCTGAGGGAGGGTTTTGTTTTGTTTTTTAAAGTTTATTTATTAAGTAATCTCCACACCCAGCGTGGGGCTTGAAATCAAGACCCTGAGATCAAGAGTTACATGCTCTACCGACTGAGCCAGCCAGGCGCCCCTGAGTGAGGGTTCTTTTTTTTTTTTTTAAAGATTTTATTTATTTGAGAGAGAGAGTAAGCTCAAGCAGGGGGAGTGGCAGAGGAAGAGGGAGAAGCAGGCTCCCCACTGAGCAGGGAGCCCGATGTGGGACTCCATCCCAGGACCCTGGGATCATGACCTGAGCCGAAGGCAGATGCTT